TTCAAACATCTTAGGCATAATAAGGAACAGGTATTTTTCATCAAGTATTGATATGTTGAACTTTAAGTCCCTACATAGTATGATAAAAAACATTTAAAAATTAGATTATATTTTAAAAATAGGATAAAGAATTCTATGCCGTGTCCTTGGTTCTTAAAAAATGACATTTTACATATATGTACTTATACAAACACAGATGCAGATGTGCACACATACATAGGTGCACACACATGCATATAGAATTACACACAATTTCCTCTACCCCCTCCCCAGTACTTAGAGATTGAGTCCATGGCCTCATGCATGTTAAGCAAGCTTTCCACCAAGTCATTTCCTCAGTCTTTCTAGATTAAGGGTTTTTATCGTCGTTTTTGGTAGTACTGAGTTTCCCACATGCTAAGCAAGCAGTCTACTGCAAAGCAACTTCCTTAACTCCAGATTAAACTTTAACTAACATTATCAAAGATAAAAGTTCTTTAAAACACTTATTAATAATGATAGGTATTATATAAATCAAATACAACAGAGACTATGACTCAAATATAGCAAAAATTTTTAAAAAATTAAAACAAAAAGAGAAGGTGTATTGGTGATCAGCAGCAAAATACAGACTCTCCGAGATCTGAAATCTAGACACTGAAAAATAACAATTCAGTGAAGAAGAAAAGAGCAGTAATTCACTGGTATTCAGGAAGGAACTGACAGAAAAACTAAAAAGTACTAAGAAGTTAGAGAGATGGACAATAATGAAGAGAAAATATAGCAATCTGGACTCTCCCTGGCTCATAGCTCATGAGTTAAGAGAGCTAAAATTAAAAACTTAGGAATTAATCTGAAGATCAAAGAGGACATCAGAAAATGAAATGATAGTTCCTATTTTTGAATAGGCAGAAATAATACTGTAAAAATGGCCACACTTCCAAAACAGAGACATAGATTGAATAAACTTCAAAAACAAAATACAAATAGCATTCCTTAGAGAACTAGAGAAGACAACCCTAAAATTCATATGGAACCAGAAGAGACCTAGAATACTAAAAGCAGTCCTGGGCAACAAGTACAATGCAGGCAGTATCACAATCCTCAACTTCAAGTTAAATTATAAAGTTGCAGCTACACAACAACAAAACAGCATGATGTTGGCAAAAAATTAAGCATGTGGATCAATGGGACAGAACAGAGTATGCAGAAACAACTCCAGGCACATTCAGCTACCTGACCTTTGACAAAAGAGTGGAAAACTTACACGAGGACATACAGCCACTTCAAAAAATGGTACCAGGCTATTCCAGATTCAGAAGACTGAATCTAGATCTATATCTCTCAATATGTACTAAACTAAAAGAGTTCAAAATACTAATTAAAACAGAAGCACAATCTTTTGAAAGATAAAATAGGTAAAACTCTTGGAGTCAAAGGCATAGGCAAGAACTTTCTGAACAGAACCTCAGTGGCACAAAAAACAATACCAAGAATCAATAAATGTGATCATATGAAATTTTAAAAGTTTCTGCACAGGAAAGGAAACAACTGAGTGAAGAGACAGCCTACAGAAAAGAGAAAAAAAATCTTTTCCAGATATCCTCTGGACAGCAGACAAATATAATATATAAACAACAACAACAAAAAAATCAGACGCCCTCAAAATAAAAAAAAAAAAAATAGGTGACCAAAAGGAACACATAGTTTTCAGAAGAATAAGTACAAATGGCCAAAAAATACATGAAACAATGTTCAACATTGGTGGTCATTGGAAAATTTAAATTAAAACAACACTGATATTCTATCTCAATCCAGAAAGAATGGTTATCACCAAGAAATTACATAAAAACTACAAGACAAAATAAAAAAGAAATTGGATAAGAACAAATGTGGGGCAAGGCTGCAGGATTGGGGGGAACTTTTACATTGTTGGTGGGAAGATAAACTAGTTTAACCATTAAGGAAATTAGTATGGAATTCCTCAACAAGTAAACCGAGAAATTCCACTGGATGTAACCTCTCCTCTTCGGTATCTTACTGAAAGAGTTAAAAGACACCATACTACAGGGATATGTGCATATCCATGTTTACAGCAACATAATTCACGATATGCAACACAGCAACCACTATTGAATTCCTATTACTTTGTTTAGAGAAATTTTGTATTGATTCTAATGCTTTTTAAAATTACTATTTTGGATTCTTTAAAAAATAACCTAAACCACTAATTTGAAAATAACTGATTTCCCTTTCACAGTATCTATTGCACCTTTCAGACTTTAGTTACTCTTTCAGGTTCTCACACTAGTGACATAATATGTTTGCATATGTGGGATTTATTTCACTTACCAATACAGTCTCTAGTTGCATCCATTTTACAAAGAATTTATCTTTTTATAGCTAAGTAATACTCCATTGTGTAAAAATACCACATCTTTTTATCTATTTCTCACATGATGGACATTTGGGTTGTTTCCAAGATTTAGGTATTACAAACTGCACCGCTACAAACATGGGTGTACATATATCACTGTGTTATGATGACTTCAGTTGTTCTGAAAAAATACCTAGGAGCAGAATAGCTGGCTTGAATGGGATTTCCAATCCTAGATTTTCGAGGAAGCTCCAGACTGATTTTCATAATGGTTGTACCAGCCTACACTCCCACCAATAGTGCAGAAGGGTTCATTTTTCCCCACAGCCTTTCCAACACTTGTTATTGGTTGACATCTTGATGACAGCCATTCTTTCTGGCATAATATGGCATCTCAGCATTATTTTAATTTACATCTCTTGAATGACTAATGATGTTGAACATTTTTGATATATTTATTTGCCATTTGTAACTCTTCATTTGTTTTTTATTTTTTATTTTTTTGTATCTCTTCATTTGTGAAGTACATATTCATCTTAGATGCCCATTTTTGGATTGAGTCTTTGAACTTTGAAGGACTGATTTTAAAAACTTCTTTATATGTTCTAGATGAGAGTCATTTGTCTCATGGATAGACCACTACAATAGCTAAATCTTAGAAGTGGCCTATTTATTCATCAACAGAAGAATGAGTAAAGAAAATGTGGCATTTTTACGAAATGGAGTAATGCACTACTATAAGGAAAGACAAACTTAAGTCATTTGGAGGAAAATGGATGCACCTTGAATATTAAGTGAAATAAGTCATCTTCAATATTGTATGATCCTCTTATATGAGGAGCCCAACATATAGATGAAGAGGAAAATGTAAAAATAATAGGAAATAGTGAGATAAATTTTTGCATATAGGAAGAGGACCAAGAGATGGAGGGAGGAAAAGAGAGAGGGGAAAGGAAAGAGATCTGCTATGCACTGGACTAACTTCCCACAAGGAAACACAATTATTAAGTTCTACAAACATAGATTAACAAAATACATAATAGATATTGATTATATAAAATTAATTACTGATTAATCATATGAAACTAAATATACACTACACATGTATTTAAAAGACAGATTTCTGTGAAATGGAAGTCCAGTAAAGTTTCTTTCTTTTTTTTTTTTTTTTTTTGTGGAACCGGGGATTGAACTCAGGTCCTTGAGCTTGCCAGGCAAGTGCTTATTCCACTGAGCTATCTCCCCGGCCCCTCCAGTAAAGTTTCATAAAGGAGTTAGTCCTCTTTTTATGTTTATTTGTTTAGC